GGACACTGAGCCTGTCCTCTCTGGACAGTCAGGTCTCTGTGTCCAGTTTCTATGGCCAGGCTGAGGACACTGAGCCTGTACTTCTTCCGTGTCTGTTTCTCCTTGTTGTCTCTCGCCGTGGTCGGACACTCTGCCAGCATTTATCACCGTCTGTCCCTCAGGCAATGACAGCAGATCACTTTCTGGGCTGCAACTCTAATCAGTTTCCTCCCCCAGGAGGACTGATATCTGTCCTGATTCCGGCAGGTATTTAAGTATCTGACCTGTATGAGACGTGATGTTAAGGAATGGTGTGTGCTTGGCGAGTGCATGCAGCTGGGGAACAGCAGGCGGCGCCAGTGCAGTACCTTGGCGATTCCGTAGTGTCTCTTGGCCAGCTCGGTGTCCCCACTCTGCTTGGCCTGCAAAGCTGCGAGTTTGTACTCCCTCTGCCTGCTTAGAAGCACCGCCTTCACCCCTGCAAAACACCAGCAGACAGACAGAGGCTCAGTTAGGCCACCGGGGCCAGTTTCTCATCACCCTTCCACTGCTTCCTGTCTTCCTGTGAAGACTCACACCTGTATGTTCCGGTCCCTCAGGCTGACTGGGGGTCAGAGGGGAGATTAAGGGCGTCTCTGGGGTCGTTGCTAGGGAACGCTGTGGTGGGGGCAGGAGGCTGGGTTTGGGTAAGGTGGGAGGGGCGCTCCTTTTGGAGCAGGGGACGGGCGCCTCCTGGGATTGCTGCTGGTCCTGCTCTCTGATTGGCTCATCCAATCTGTGGGTCCTATCCGCCGAGGTGGGGGGCTCGGAGGGGGCAGGGTGGTTGCCTGTGGCCACAGGGGGCGGGATCTCATCCTCATTGATCGGTTTCCCCTTCCGGACAGACGCCAGCATGGACTGCAGAGTCTGGGAGAACAGGGAAGATGTGGAAAATGAGTTGCAGGCCGGTTGTAAGAGACATGTCCTCCCCCGATGTCCCCACCCACCTTCAAGCCTCTCTCGCATCTCCGCGCCCGGCTGCTCTCCCCCGCTGCCTTGGCGCTGCTGATGGCCGTCTGATACATGTCAATCCTCGCGGACAGGCGGGACTCCAGCCCCCCAGGGGCAGTGGGAGTGCCTGGGGAGATGCGGGGGGCAGGGGCAG